TCTAACAATAGTTCACCTAACTTCAATTCTGATACGTTATTACCCAAAGAACTGATACCAGAAGTTTCACCTGCCAGCTCCAAGTCATCGGAGATAGTTGCTTTCTTGGATAGGATGTATAAGGAAAAGGTTAGTGATGAGATTAAACAACGCAATAGGGAGAAGAAACTTCAAACTCAAGAGTCTCTTCTAATACTTCCTGAAGAAGAAAGGCCTCAAGTTTTCGACTCTGATATTCAGCCATGTAGTAGTTTAACATCTGAAGTTAGTAAGAACGTCAACCTAGGTTGTCCTACCTCCAAATCAGTGATCCATAATCAAAAGAGAGTTTCTAGAGGTAGCAGATCACATAAGAAAAAAGGAATAGATGAACTTAAACACAAATTATTCAACCCCTTTTTGGAATCAGAGATTTTGCCATTAATAAATCATAATAATGTGACTGAAATTTCTGAGACAGCCCGTCTCAGAAAAGTTACCTATAACAATATTGATGAAGCCTTACAACATTTAGCTCAATTATATGACAAAGCTATTGATGCTGAAGATAGGGCAAATCGAGCTAATCAGAAAGAAATTTTATGTTGATGCCTTTACTGGAAGGATTTCAAAGATCAGCTTGATGAGATTATCAGAAGCAATGGTGGTAAATTTGGTGAAAAGAAGGCGAGAGGTATGCTTTATGACACTATTACAGAACAGCTTACTATTCTTCACAAGAAAAGATCGCAAGAATTAGGACTAAAACTTAGGGATGTATCATAGAATAGCTTGCGTAAGAAAACTCAGAGAGCTGAAAAAAACTATAAATTATTCGAAAAAGTGAGTCTAGATAAGATCAAGTATATTAATTCATATAGCGTGAATTCTATTTCAGAGCTTACTGATGTACAATTTCAAGAGATCATAGATTATGGTATATCTTTGGAAAAGTTGTCTCTGAAAGCTGGTCATGTGTCTGAAATTTCTGAGACAGCCCATTCTGAAAAAATCTTGCCTGAAGTAAATACACCTCAAATCACTCCAGTTAAAGCAGATGATAATGATCTCACGGATCTTAAGGAGGAAGATTTCTGTGATGGTAAGGTAGTGATCGCAAGTGTATCATCTGCATTCTAATCTAAGCCCAATCATTCCTATTTTCGCAACAAGATATTGGATCAATATCCTAATCTATATAAAGAATGTAGTATTGAAAATTTTGACTATTATAGGATTACTGATGAGATAACATGCGGGGACTATATCTGCCTATTATGCAAATTAGGCCATGATAATGAAGAAATAGAAGGTAGGTATAAAGCAGGATCTTACTTTATTAAATATGAACAGCGTGAAATTGAGATAGTTGTATAGTCCAGATGATTAGACAGCTTTCTATCTGAAAAAATTTTTAATCTTTTTTTCAAATTGGTAACCTGAGGAAGAAAAAGGGATTTAAATTATTTGCAGTCATATAAAAAGGAAAATGACTGAGTCTGATAAAATACTAACTGCTGAATATCTGGATTGGCATACCAAATTAATTGGATTACCAAGTATTTTGACAGATAAGATTCGTTTCAAATTACACAAAAGATATAAAAAACAGATTGGAAATGAGCCATGGCAACCAACAGAAGTATATGAATCAGAAGTTATAAATTTGAAGCCAGAAAAAGGGCCTATAACTTTTGAAGTCAGACCTGATCCAGAATTAATTATCAAATCCGTCTTAGAGCACTTCCCATACTTGAAATTCTGAAATAGTTTCAGAGGGATTGATAATT